CCTTCACAGCAAAAACACTGTGAAGGTTTTAAAAAGTCACCTTCACAGCATTTTGCTGTGAAGTTTCAAGTGTAAAATGTTGGTCTCACGGGTCTCACGAAAACAGGCTGGTCTCACATGATCCCAAGTCTATATATATATATATATATATATATATATATAGTTTGTTTCAAATACAACTCATCGCATTTGTACAACCAATGCAACCCAATAAGTTGAAATATTTATGCAAATGATGAGAGTTCATTTATTATGATTTAAATATTTATAGAAGATGAATACGTTTCATTAATTATGATTAATACTTTATATTAGAAAACAATCAAAACTTTTATGAAATTACATATTCATTAAATTAAATGGACGTTTGAGATTGAATTGTATTGATTGTACAAATGTAAAAGGTTGTATAATAACTTACCCCTCTCTCTTTCTCTCTCTCTCTATATATATATATAATAAACTTCTCCTCTCCTACAAATGTGTAGTGAAAAACATTCCATAACAATTCTCTACATGGTATATCAGCCAAATTCAAAATTCCCTCTCATTTTTTTCATGGCACCTACCTCTAGCAATGATTCCACCACCACTACCACCACCACCGGCGACGAGTCTTCTTCCTCCCTTCCTTTTGCTACTCTCATTCACATATGACCATCAAATTTAATTCCTCCAATTATCTTTAGTGGAAAAATGAAATCATCCAGTTCTTGAATCTCAAGACTTGATGAAGTGTTTTGAAGATCCAACCACCTCTCCTTCTTCTCAAACTGATTGTCAACTACGTCGTTGTTGCACTCCTCTTCATCAGAAGAAGCCATGGCGGTGGTTGCACCACCGCCCATACCGCCTGGACAACCCTTGAGTCCACGTTTAGCTATGCCTTGGAAAGCTGTGAATTCTCTCTTCCTTCCGATCTGCAACAACTACCCAAAGGCGCCTCATTGTTAAAATTGATTAAGCTAGATCATTATTTATGTGCAGTTATTATTAGTTATAGACAGCAGTTATTTTCCCACCGGTTGGAAGGTGTTGTACCG